AATAGTTTTATAGTTTCGATATCTTTTTATTTTATTTAAAATTTTTTATTGTTTTTTGTATACGCTATGAATTTTTTATATTCTGATGTTTTCTTTTAGTATATATATTTGAAATTTAAAAATTTGTTCATATATGTTTTTTGTATTTTTTCAATTTTTTTTATTTTTTTTTTTTTTCATATATAACATTTTTTGTACTTTTTATATGTTTTTATATTTCTCTTATATAATTTCTTTGCATTTTTTTATATTTTTTAAATTTATTTTGAATATGTTTTAATATTTATTTTTTTATGTTTTATGTTGTTTTTTTATTTTCTTGAATTTCTTATCTTGTTTTTTTTTTGTATTTTTTATATGATTTCATATTTCTTTTATATAGGTTTTTTTTATATTTTTTTGCATTTTTTGTATTTTTTATACATGTTTTATTTATACTTTTATTTATTATTATATTTTGTTTTATATGTTTTATTTATATAATATATATTTTTCTTTCTCTTATTTTATATATTATTTATCATGTATTTTTTATTTTATATTTTATTTTTTTTTGTTATAAATTTTTAATTTTTATTTTATATATTTTGATACGTTATAATTTTGTTATATATAATATTTTATATGTTTTTTTTTTGTTGTCCCCTTTGTATTTAAAAATGTATTATTTATTCTGTTAATTCATATTTCACTGTTAAAGACCTGTTAAATAGCTGTTAGATTCGTCTATGCTCTGTTAAATCATAATTAACGCTTACTCGTGCGTTTGATATGTTTAAGTTGTTCGGTTTTTAGGAAAAAAATAAACTAAATTTGTGTCGTAATATGTACTTCAAAAATTGTACAGTTATAATTGTTATTATAGTAATATTTTTTTCTATACAAGTTTTGTTATGTATAAATTTTTCATTTAATATAACTAAGTTTTTTTTTTTATTAAGTTCATATATATGGACAGTCGTCTATTATGTTGCCTTACGCCACACACCTTTTCTTAATGCAAAATTATTAAAAGCTTTTTTTCAATTTATGCTTTCATGTTGACTTCGTCGTAACAGCCATGCCATCACGTATATATGTACCTACCACATACATATATATATGTCTACATACATACATACATATTTCGCACTTCCCCCATTCCACCGTGCCCCATTAACCGTTATTATGCCGGATCACCTGCCTCTACATAGTTTGTTATTTTATGTATTGTTGAAGCGCGTGCGGGCGAATGTAACAAAATTTTTTATTGAATAAGCTTTATTTTATTATTTTTTCTCCTTACTTTTATACTACCTCAAACAATTTTTTTGTGTTTTTTATTTATGTTTTGCTTATTTGCGCTTTCTGGGTTATCGATACGCTCTGGTAATGCAAGGCATTTTGTTACAATGCTGACTTTAATTATTTTTAGTCAAAATAAATAATAAAAAAAAAAATAATAAATCGTTTAAACAAATAACATCGCTTAAAATCTATTTTTCAAGCATATAAAATTTATTATTCTCAAACTCAAATCCAGTAACGATGTTATCAACATATTTGCCGAAAATTTAAATTTCTTCTTCATAAAATAATTAGAAAATAACATTTTCGCCTTATAAATAAAACATTGTACAGTGGAATATTTATTAACTCTTGTTTATATTTTTTAAGTAATTCGTCAAGCATGCAAATTAATTTAAACAAACAACGAAATTTATTTTGTAAACAAGTATTTTTCCATTTTGCGTAAAAATTAAAAATAAAAAATTATTTGTTTTTAAGTATTACATTAATTTGCATAAACTTAAAAGAGTTTGGAAATTTTTCAAATATATTTAAAAAAAAAATGTTTAGAAAATATACTCAAAAACACATACATAAGTATGTACATAAATTGAATTCTATACGTCTTGCGAATTTTGTGACGAAGAAAATGCTGTGAATACGTTCGAATATGTTACGCAAAATAATTAGGGTTCTCATTAAACATTTAAGTCAGCGCAATTGATATAAAGAAACGACTTTGAAAAATAAACGTTAGTTTACGGTTTCAAAACCGATTCAAAATTATATCTTTTATTGAATAAAAAAAATTTGTTTAACATAATTTTTTTGTTTGCCAGCTTGCTATATCGCCACTAAGCGAAATACTAATTATTAACCAGAAGCCAACTAGTTTGCACTTTTACACTAACTAGTTAATTTTCCCTTGTTATAACATGCTTAAGCTTCCCCCCAAAAAATTGCCTGTAGCAAGATTTAAATCGTGTATCTCTCGTGCAACACGGACAACTACTAACAATCGTGACAATGTAGAGAGCATACGGCGCATTTCAGTAGAGTATATCCAAAAATGAGACTCACCCGTGGCATGAGTAAATGAACTAGTATTTAACTAATATGCGGCTGATGTATATTTCAACACTTGATAGTTTTTAGTCTCTCATCTATAAGGTACTAGCATTTAACTAGTAGTCTTGCATACCAGTCTACGTTTTCACTGCCTGCAGGTATATTTTTTATTTATTATGCATAGAATATACTGGAATTACTTTGACACTCAATAAAATTAATTACCAATGTTTTAATTTGCCTAAATTACTGCAAAAATAATACAATTCTAAATGTAAATATATAGTATATTTGTTTAACTTCGTATTGTATAAACCAAAGATACATATAGGCATTTTATAAGAATCGGACTTGTTTCGACGATACAAATTAGTAGTGGGTAATTCGAAACCGAAAAGAATACAATTAAACTACGAAAAAAAAGAAACAAACGCATAATGAATGAAATTAAGCCGAGCACATAGAATTACGAAAACAGCGAAATAACAAATTTGAGTTCAAGGTTTAAAATTTGTAATTTTCATTGTATGTATTTTGTTTTCTTCTGTTTTTTTTTGCATTTTGTTTTGGCACTATTATGCCATTAGTTTGTGTTCGGTTGGCCATTGACTTCAGGCCCGAGTTTAGCCGCTCAAAAAATCAAAATATCGATTGCAGTATTTCCAATTACATTGGCAGACACCTCAATCGGTGCATTAATGAATGCCAACTCGTCGGCAATGCCACTCGCTGCTCGCCAATAACAGCTGCTAACCAACTTGCGGCTAATTCTAAACAAAGCCAATAACGAACGAGTGCAAGTGCATACAACGAATGTGAAATGAAGTACAAATAATAGAAATATTTTGATAAACATACAAATGTATGTAGGAACATACGTATACATACATATATTTATAAATATTGTTAATAACTTTTCTCTTTTGCTCATGTCTTGCATGTTGCACGACTAACTTGTCGTCAAAGTTTTGTCTCTTTCGATAATTTTGTAGCCTAATTCCCGTTATTAATGCTCAGCGTCGCGTGGCCAAAACTGACACCGATTGTCAAAAGTCGTAAACACAGTTAGCTACCATAAAAAATAATACTAAAAACATAAAATGTACAAACATTTGTGTTTAACTTGATTGCCACAATCAGCCGACAAGTAAATAATTGGCACACTAAACAAATTGCCGACTAAAAATCCATTGTTTCGCGAGAGAGTCTCAGCAGACAACTTTCAGTGAAGGAGACATGAAGTCTTCATCGCTTTCGCGCTTTCGTCTGCACAATTTGCAATGTATTTATTATTTGTTGGTCAAGAGATGAAAGATGTTTGTATGTGTGTATGAAGTAATTAAATAATAAAAGGAGAAGAGAGAAACTTTATAAAAGTTGGCGGTAAAGCGGCTGTCGTCTGCGTACGCTATTGCATAACACTGGTTTATGTCATGACAGCATTTATGTATCTGTATGTGTATATGTATGATGAGTAATTTCATTGTCATTGACTTTTTGTTATTGTAGATAGAGGTGGGTATTTTGCGTCATTATCCAAGTGAAGCTACCCTGTAGTGAGAAGCTAGTTTACGTTAAAATTCTAGTTAAATATTAGTATTTCGTTATTTGCAATCATACCAGTTAACTATTAGCTCGCAAATCACCAGTTTTGGGACTAATATTTCACTAGTACATCTCTGGTATGTAGAGGTAATTTTAAGCACACCGCGGAGAGTCACTTGATCTACTGTGTGAATCAAAATTTTAACATGAATAAATGAACTAGTATTTAACTAATATAAAGTTGACAGAAAAAGGACAATAGGTATTTAGTTGAACATTTCTGTGTTAAGAACAAAGTAGTTTTCTTAATTATTACTAGCATCTTTTCCTACAGGGTAGGGGCATATATTTAGTTGACTGCTGCTTTGCAATCAAGTATACATATTATAAATACATGCATATGAGCATTTGTATCTATTTTGTGCGAAAATTCTGCAGAGCAAGAAGGGTTCGATTCTCAGACAGATCAATGAATTTTTTATTATTTTTATTAAAATATTTTATTTTTATTTTTTTATTATAAATTTTTATCTTTTTAATTTTTTTTACCTTTTTTATTTTCCGCTAAATTATGTTTTAGGTATTTTTAAATGTTTCTTTTTTCATATTTTTTTTTATTTTTTATTATACATTTCTTTTTATATTTTTTTATATATATTAGATATTTTATTTTTATTTTTTTTTAATATTTTTTTTAAATTTTTTTTTTATATTTTTTTTTATATTTTTTTTTATATTTTTTTTTATATTTTTTTTTATATTTTTTTTATATTTTTTTTATATTTTTTTTTTATTTTTTTTTATATTTTTTTATATATAACTTTTTTTTATATTTTTTATTACATTTTTTATATAATTTTTTTTTTATTTATTATATATAATTTTTTTTTATATTTTTTATAAATTTTTTTTATATTTTTAAATGTTTAAATTATTCTATTTCTTCAAATATTATTTTTTAATATTTATTGTATTTCAACATTTTATTTTTAAAAAGGATTTAAGTTTTTCAATTATCTGCTCGTCTTAATTGAATTACTTTACATTTCATTGAATGAATGAATTTTCAATATATTTTTTACCTCTCGCCTTTTTTATTTTAAAATTTATTCATCACTCGGGCAGATCGCTTCACCCAAACTCTACGACACAACTCGAAAGTAGTGAGCGTGCGCATGAGTTCGAAGGGACGACCTGTGCCCATTCAAAAATTGGCGCTTCGTAAAGCGAGCAGACACGGCACAATCAAGTACCAATGCCCACCCACTTCACTGCCTAGAAGCACATCAACCGAGCTGTTAGCAAGGTTGGACGGTTTTCCTTACTGTTAGTTTTAGGCACAATTTCTTAACAGACACGAATTTACTATTTAGCCAGGGTTGTTTATAAACATGTTGAGAATCAGAGAGCGCTGCTTTGCTTGTGTGTAGTATAAACGAAAGCAGAATGTGCAAAAACATACCTACATATGTTTGTGTGTGTATGTGTGTGTTTATATACATAAATAAATGTTTACAAGTGAGAACTTGGCAGAAAAGAGGGAGCAAAAAGCTTTGAAATGTTAACGAACAAACACAAGTGGCATACACATACATATATATCATGTATGTATGTATGTGCTAGCGTTTACAGACAGCTATGGGCAAATAAATGTGATGGGAGTGTGAAAATAAATGTAAGAAGGTAGAGGTTTTGAACTTAATTTATATTTTTATTTGGAATTTTATTAATATTAAAAAGGTCGTTTATTTAAATATTTACAATTTTTATTCTATTGACGGAAATCGGTCGACAGGTTGCTTTATTTTATGATTATAATTTTATCTTACGGAAAAAAACGGCTATATAAATACTACTTACATATACTGGTACTAAATGTCTAGTAATTTGTTTACTACTAAATCCATAACTACGTTTTAACATATGTACATACATAGTTTTAATAAATCCTATGTACACACAAACTCGTTCCAACGCCATGCAATTAAAGTTGTTGTAATTATAGTTAATTAAAACTATTTAGAAGTCAGTGCTTATTAGACACACATATAATACATATGTATGTATGTATGTACATAAGTAAGTAAGTTCGTAAATTCAAATCACGACAGATTTGCTACAGCCAACACTTAATACTGCTGTTAGACCATAAATGTGTCTCGATCTAGGGTGCTTCCGTTCTCTCATCTTTATAAGATGGTGCCTTCTAGTATATATTTCCGAAAGAGGTTCGGACTTTCGCTTCCATGCATGCAGTTACCAAAACGAAGGATCTCCAGTTACTCCGACATATTCGTTTTAACAGTTCGCTGAAGTCTGATCGCATCGTTTCTGGAACAAAAGTGCAAACGAGCGACAAGCAACTTTTTTCACAAACTTTTTTGAGTCTAAACACGTTGCTGTGTGCGAAAGAAGAAGGCCTCCAAATAAGTAGAAATGTCAAGTAGAGAGGGATTTGACTTCACTTACCAGTTGCATTGACCAACGAAAAAAAAGAATTTACTGAAGTGCTATACTTAAGAAAGGGAAATGAATCAAGGGTTTATATATGTATGTCGCTCAACCCTAAGCCAATGTGAAATTGCTCGTTTCATAAATTCTGGCAAGCCACTTGTTGTTATATTCACAAAAAATTTAAATTGCTCTGAGATCATTAAACATCACTGTTAGGCGGAAATAATACAAAGAATACGCTCTAAATCTACTAATGCAGGTCATTTCTGTACTTAACCTCATTTGGTAGAATGCATAGCGACTTTCTTAGCACAAATATTCTGATAAATTGTGTCACGCTTCAATATTTTTGTCCTGCTTTCAGAAATTCTTAGTGGTTATTGGACTTGACCATCACCTTGGAAATCGACCATGAACCATAAATCTCCCCAATTTCCCAGCATTTCTGCGCTTTTTGCCCATTTTAGCCCTACCAAAGTAGGTAAGGTTTCAGCAGATTCCTGCAAAAATTTTGGTATTTTTAGAACGATGTTCCTTGGAAACGTCTATATTTAGTTCATAGCTTACAACCATTTTTTTTTTTTCAACCAAACTGTCTTAGGTAAGATTTAGGAAGTAAATATGTAGTTAACATAATTATGTGTATCCATGCGCTAGATTGATGGTATTTATGACATATTTTTAGTTCAAACGTTAATTAAAGAATTTTTTCACACAACGACATAATTTGTTTGCGCAGTGAGGGTATTAATGCTCAAGCAACTTAATTGAAATCAAGACGGCAAGAATGCCAGCGTGTAAAAATTTGTGTCGCTCAGCTGAGTTGAGTTGATGCGGCTGCAAAACAGAGCTACTTTCCACCTTCTCAGATGTACGAACCGTTTTGTGTGCCTTATAAACCTTGTGATACTATCTATAACAGCCGCTGGTATAACCTGGCAATCAAAGAAGTGTTGTTCGAATTACTTAGGTCGTATAGTGCTTAGGGCTGGGCAGTGACAGACGTAGTCTAGGGCACACTCTTCCTCTTCTTCGACTCTGCATTTTCGAGGAAAATTATTCGAAAAGTAGGTTTTTCATTCTGCTACCGGGAAGTACCGCTAAACAGTGTTCAGTTATTATAATAGTTGTTGTATTATACTTTAGCCGGTCTTGGATAATTAGATTCCTTGATTCTTTAGCATACACCACAGAGCAAGGCTATCTGGTGTTGGCCGTTTTGGTGATAGGCAGCTTCAGCATGAGTTTTACCGTAGCAGTACGGTACCTTCGCTCTGACTGGTTCACCCGCCGCACAGTTGCCTGGAAGAACACTACGTCGGGTACTTAGAAAGAGGCTGTGTTGCTTCTTGCATTTAACGCCGCTTTTGATGGGCTGTAATTAAATCTGATCTGATTTGCTTGTATTCAGATATCCGAGCATCCATTTTGCGGTTGCTGTGAATGCAATAAGTTCTTCTTTGAAGACGCGGCATTTATCTGGTAACCTCAAATTAAAATTGGTTGAGAGCGTTGGTGTGTGAATTCCAAAGCCTACTCTTTCATTGAGTTTAGAGCCATCCGCGAATGTGGCTATGTCACTCTGATCTAAAGCATTTTCTCATTCATTCCTGTTTGTGATTCTTGTGGAGAAGCGATTGTAAAAACAATAAGTGGAGATGGTGCAGCCGAACTTTGCTGGAATTTTTGCGAAAAGTAATAAATAAAAGCAAGCCCTGTAGTGCTCCAAAGGCTGAGCCCTGTCCAGTTTAATCGCATTGCAGCTCTATTTGAGGAAGAGTTTCCAACGCTTTTAATGAAGTCTATGGTTGGGCTCTGGTAGTGAGCTGACGACCGTTAAACTGAGTCCAGTTTGCTCCTGATGGTAGTTTTTTCGAGTGTTGGCCACCAGACAGGGACCACGTATATTAAAAAGCGTATAACTCCCGGTGTATAAATCGAATGAACAATAAAGGGTTTTAGGCTCCATCTCGTACCAACAGCCTCTTTATATGCGTAGAATGCAGTGACAGCTTTCCTCGACCTTTCGTCATAATTTTTACTGTTATTAAATACCATAATATATTATTAAATTTCAATTGAAATTAGCTATCGTTGGATCGCAGTTAGATTCAATTTACACTGTAACATAGTTAAAAGTAAGTCTAACACTTGACGTTAAAAGCATTTCATTGCTAATTTCGCATTACAACTGAAGTTCATTTCAAATAGAATTGACCCTTTTTATTATTTACAAAGTTTGTAGCTTCAGCTATAGCTTTGTTTGTTGTGTACATACATATGTTTGCAAAATGATTAAAAGAATTGTATGTATGTGAACAAAAGCTTATTGAATATATTATATTAAACGTATATAAGTATGTACACTGATAAGGCTATTTGCCCGCGTATGTGTAAAGTAAGATTTCGCATTAAAATCTACTAAAACCTATAATAACTAAGAATCAATTTATAGATTTTTTTTTTTCAAATATACTGAGTTAACCATGTTGTGGTTTCGAAAATAATCGCAAAAAATGCATTTTAAATATTTCCATTAAATTTTTTGTATATTATAACTTCTGAACCTTGGCATTATATGTGAAACATTAAATCATTCAAATGAGCTCCCCGCGAATTTTTGCTAAGTTTGATCCGTTTGAGGTAATTTTCGATCACTTTTTGGCTGATATTAACATCACGATTCTTTGATTTCAGGTATTTCACCGCATTAACAAGGTCTTTCGCACAGACCCACAAAAAAAGTCCAACAATGTCAAATCGCATGGTCTCGATGGCAAATTGACATCGAGATTACGCGGCCGGGAAATTTATCTCATAATAAAGCTATATTCGCTCACGTTGTGTGGCGTGTAGCACCATTCTGCTCAAACTAAATATTGTTCCAGTCGTCTTCTTCAATTGCAGACCAAAGAAAGTCGGTTCTCATATGACCCTAACGCTCCGAATTGACAGTGACAGGCTTGTCGATCTGGATCAAAAAGTGCCCAGAAGTTGTTTGGGTGTGATGGTCCCTCTTCAATTAAATAATTGATTCTCGGAGCACTAAAAGTGCCAATTTTGATTATATATGTATCCTCCGATTGATGTCAAAATACAGCTCTGTACTTTTGAAACCACGAAATTTACGACCCAAGCTAATTAGTATATAACAAGTTAATCAATACATACAAACCAGTATTATAGTGCTTTCTGTAACATTCTTTTATTACTTTAGCACGGTGTTGGCTGACGAGATTTAAAGTCTAAGTTAAGAATATAAAAAAAAAAACTAAAGTTATGAAAGCCTCAATTTAATTTTAATTCCTAAAAGCACCTTGGAGATTGAAAGATGTCCAATGATTTATTTAATTTTGTTTCTTAAATTTATTTTAGTGATTATTGAATTTATTTTTTGAATTGTCTGAAATTCTGATCAGTTTTTTATTAATACATTTTTTTTTGTGTATGGCTTTTAAATTGAACAAACAAACCTGAAGAAACTTCAAATGAAAACTCTTGCAGTTTGGAAAATTTTAAATTTCGCAAAAATTAAAACTTAAACTGTTTAAGAGCAATTAGTTAACTGTTTTAACAGTATGAGCCACTGATAGATTTTTTTCGAAAGATAAATTAACATTCGAGTAAATTTTGTTTACGAAAACTCATAAATAAGTTGTTATAATTTGGTTTCTGGTGTTTCCTATGGCCTTATTGATAACGCAATTCCTAATAGAATGAGTCAACCAAAATAATTATTCATATGTAATTATACATATGTACATATAATGATAAAATCACCAAACAACAATGAGCTGTCAACGATCTACCAGTAAATTACATTTTGTCAAATGCGATATTGATAAGAAAGGTGTGAGTAGTTAAAGTGCCAATGTCTACATAGAAAT